TTCCTGGGATTTGTAGTGCATATTAAATAAATATAATTAAATAAAGTTTAGAAATGAGTCCGATATATTTAATTCAGTGTATAATAGTTTCTGTTTGTGTAATTTTATTCATTATTGTTTCAATTATTATGATAAATGTACGCAAACCTACCGATGGCACCGACATCTGTACAACCAATGAGTGTAAAATTGCTGGAAGTGCTCTTAAAGAAAACCTTAATGATAGTGTCGACCCGTGCCATGACTTCTATGCGTTCGCGTGCGGGGGTTGGGAGGCGTCCCATAGGATACCCAATGATAAGGACAGGTTTAACAGTATTGATATACTCGATGACAAACTTTTAGATTTCATGAGGATATCGTTGAGTAAAAACTGGTCGACAAGTGATTCAAATGCTGTGACCTATGCCTCCGATCTCTATAAGGCGTGTATTGATGAAGGTTTCGGACATTCATTTCATTTGCATTTAATTATTCATAACTTATTAACAATTGAGTTGTATTTGTATAGAAACACGTAATGCCCGGGGAATGACTCCTCTTATTGAGGCACTGAAATCAGTTGGCGGGTGGCCTATAATGGGACAGTCGGATGGCTATAATGACAGTGAATTTGATTGGAAGGACGCGTTTGTCAAACATGTGATTAAATCTGATTCCTCGCCGGTATTCGCACTAACAGTAGGCGTCGACGCTAACGATACTCTTGTCAATAGGTTTTATGTAAGTTTTAATTACTATTAATATTTTACAACATTTACATAAATACTGTATAATAGTTTGGGAGATCTTTCTTTGGATTACACCGGGATATATTGCTTAATCCAGATGATTACCCTGGTACAAACCAGGCTTACAAGTCTTTTATACTAAAATCTGCGCTACTATTGGGAGCTAAACACAATCTCCAAACCCAAAGAGATATTACTGACATAATAAAGTTTGAAACAAAATTGGCCCAGGTATAAATTACAATACTATTAAAAATATGTATTATATTTATTTGTATTTCATTTGCATTTCAGTTCGCACTTCCAGAGGAAGACAAACAAAATCCTATCTTTTGGTACAATAGGATGACATTCAAAGAGTTTAATGAATTGACAGACAATAGAGTCGATTGGATGAACATAACAAACACTGTATACAACGAGTTGAATGAAACAATTCGTATGAAAGGCAATGATTTAGTGATCATTCAAGACATCAATTACTTTATAAATGTGACACAACTGTTGACCACAACTCCTAAGAGAGTAATAGCTAACTATTTCGGGTGGGATTTTGTCCGCCATATGGGCGCACATACGGACAAACGGTTTAGAGATATTACCTTTAAATTCAACCAAATATTTACTGAAGCGGAAAAGGATGTCGAGTTGTGGAGGACTTGTATGGACAGCATATCAACCAAATTGCCGTACGTTTTAAGCCGTTTATATGTCGAGAAACAATTCACACAAAATGATAGACAAGAGGTTTATTATTCACATTAATTGTGTTTTTAATTATTAAGACTGAAATCAATGTTAATTTTAGGCTATCAATTATATACGAGATGTTAAGAAAGCTTATTACGAGTTGATTGAAGGGAACGACTGGTTGGACACAAACACTAAAAATAATGTGTTTTTAATTATTAAGACTGAAATCAATGTTAATTTTAGGCTATCAATTATATACGAGATGTTAAGAAAGCTTATTACGAGTTGATTGAAGGGAACGACTGGTTGGACACAAACACTAAAAATACAATTTTATACAAATTGAATGCAACGAAAGAAAATGTTGGATATCCTGATTGGGTGCTCAATAATAATGAACTTGATAACTATTACCAATTGGTATTATAATTATGATTGCACCAATGAATTAAATAAATCTAAACTTATCTGAATATAAATCTATAGAAACAAAGAGTGAATCCCAAGAAGTCTTTCGAGACTTTTGTTTATTTCCAAATTAATATCGCCATAAGGATTATGAAATCAATTGGACAACCGGTGAATACCACAAATGAGTAGGATATTAATATAACTACTGTATATCTTAATGTCTAAATTATCATTATTATAATTTGATTATTTGCATTCAGGTGGCCTGGCTCACCTTCCGATGTGAACGCTTACCACGACTTCACATCCAACTCCATCAGTAAAATACATATAATTATTTGAATTTTATTTAATTATTATTATTTTAATTTCGATTAATTATTCAGTGGTAAAGAAATAAATTTATTTAGCATTTCTTGAATTTAAGATTAAAAATTGAAATTATAAATTAATTTTATTAATTAGACATATTACATTATTTCAAGTTATCCCTGCTACAATCCTTAAGTCGCCGCTTTTCTATAGCAAAGGACCGGCTGCTGTCAACTACGGGGCCATGGGATCGGTATTTAAGTTTTACTAATTTTTTGTACCGTATTATAAACAATAAGTAATACATGAGTGAAATGACAGGCTATCGGACACGAGTTGACGCATGGGTTGGACGACTCGGGCGTTAAATACGATTCAAACGGAAATCTCAAGAATTGGTTCACAGAAGAAGCGAAGGAAAGGTTTGACGAAAAGGAAAATTGTTTTGTCAAACAATACTCGAATGAATACGTACCGGAAGTTGATATGAATGTATGCCTAGAAATAGTAGGGTTTGGGATGTGTTTCGTATATTAAGTGTTAATACAGTTGTCATGAATTGAATGATTAGTTGAACGGAAGGAATACTTTGGGAGAGAATAT